TAAAATATATAAAATATATAAAATATATAAAATATATAAAATATATATCAGTTTTCAAACTGTTTTTATTGTATAAAAAAATACACCAGCTTTTCGCGATCTTGTATTACGACTACTGCTTACGTCACGTTACTCTTCCGTGATGTTTGGACTACTACTTTAAACTCTAAAACCGCGGCACGGTTTCCGTGCCTTATGACCGCACGTGTTTATTATCCCTTTTCTTACATTTCAGTCGTGAAAACAAAGAGCTATATCCTTGTAGTGTATTTTGATCTAGCCGTGCCAGTTCACGCCGTGACTCTTATATTCGATTCGTTTTTTGTATAACATCTGGTATATCGGGATGAAGGCTTCTGACGTTTACATTACAGCTATACATATCCATAACATTATGTATTCAATTGTATGGAAAAAAACCTACATGCCATGTATAAAAAAAAATTATTTAATCCCAGCGTCCGAAAAGTAAAGAGACATTTTTACTGTTTGATTAAAATTTATTGATATCGTTGATAACCAATTTCGCTTCTCTCTGTTAATTAAGCTTATACTGCATTATCGCGAATGTATTACGCGTACGTCTTTCTAATGACGATAAAAAGTAACAAAGGAGGAAATGAACAATCAACAATCGATTCTCCAGTTTTCCCCTGATGGAGATCCTGGTCAACGCCACGAAGATGATTAAGTGACGCAAGATTATATGCATCTCGTGTGACAGTCGGGTGAATAAAAGTCACCTCTCGTCGGGATTAGTTCTTCGCGGTACTATGACAGTTTTACGACCTCTAAAACTGGATCGGTTTTCAGAGTTCTCGCGTTTCAATCTAAAGATCATCTTCACCTTCAGAGGCGGAGATGCTTCTGAATCGAGCTGCTCGTGTGTAAATTGTCGGAAATGATCTGTCTCAACTATCTCTTTCTTCTGCTGCGAGTTTCATCGCTGTTTAAATAGCCTTTCTTATTCTCGACCTATCTCACTTTTATGACTTTATTATTGACTCTTTAATATTTGGGTAACCTCGCAGAATACGTCGTGACTCGTGAGGTATGCTTCAATAATCAATCTTAAACGAAAGATTTCATCTCTATAGGCTTATCAGCAGGAGTCTTTCAAGGATTTTTTTCGATTATTTGTCGAAGACGATTTGATAAATAGATTCCATTGACATGAAGCTCTATCAAGTACTATAAAGAAATAAATTTTTCAAAAATTCTATGTTTAATATAGGATTTACCGACACATTCTTTATATTCCTCACAAATTTCGATTATTCATCGAAGACTTATTCTTGAAAGACGATTCGATAAATGAGCTTTATCAACGTCAAACTCTATATAATCTTAACCAGAAAAGAGAAATGGTTTCATAAATATTATATTCATAAATGTTCATAAATATTCATATATAGCGATGGTTATCCCTCTAAAAAATAACATTATTCTGATTGTATTTGGATCAAATAAAAAAAAAAGAATCCATTACATATAACAAGCAAACCATCTTTACTTACTTTATGAATATAGCCTTGAATTTAAACGATATACGATTCTCCATATGATTCTATTGGCAAGGGAGAGATAATAATTTGGTGATTCCGCAGTTAAAATTTAATTCAAGCTAAATTATTTTTATGTTTTAGTATAATAATTATCATGAATTCAATAATGATAAAAATCTCCACGATAACTCGTGTTTAAGATTTATGGTGTGTGGTAATGCTGAGATCTACATTGGATCACGGCCAGGCTACGATCAGATCGCTGGGTATAAACGTCCCATGATATTGAAGCCCTAGTTTTGATGTTAGGGTAACTCCGGTATATACGCCACAGCTAAGGGAAACTTAATTTATTGAGTATTAAAAAAAAAATTCTGTAAAATTCATAATTTATTGCATATCCCCGCAGGGTTCGCAATCTACTACCAATACTATCCTTCTCCTCT